CTCTCTCTCTTTCTCCTTCGCCCCTTCTTGCTCTAGGACAATCAAAGTCGAAACAACAGGCCTCCTAAGTGATCTAAATTATCACAAGATTTACATCACATAATTTACCATCAATCACTACCGAAAGGTGGTGTCGCTCCCCCAGATTATGTCATTCTGAACTACAGTGCAGCTAACCCGAGTTTGAATCTTCATAGTGAAATTCTAAAATTTTACTTCATTTTTCTTTTGATTTATTTTTTTAAGCAACTCAATTCTGTTTTATGTATTTGTTTCTTTTGTTGTTATTATTATTATTATTATTATTGTTATTATTATTACTTTAATTTTTAAAAATTGTATTTGTCTTATTTCATTTTACGCTTAATTTTTTAATTTTTTAATTTTTTTAGGTATGGGGGGGGGGATTCCTATCTGAGATGGACGTTATAGTTATATCCTGAAGTCCGGCGTCTTGAATGAGTGTGTCGTCGGTAGTCTAGTGGTTTGACTACCGTACTCGTGATCTTTAGGTTGCGTTCACTCCTCAGGCCCGACATTTTGTACTTTTGTGGAAAACACTTTACAGGAATGTTGCTCACTTCATCCAGGTTGGGATGGGTACCCGCCCACTGACAGCGAAAGATCTTGTCAGTATATATTTTTGTTTTGGCGCCAACTAAAATGCAGCTCGAACTGTATGCTTCCCATGAAGTTAAGATTGTCTCAGAATGCTATCCGATCTGCTGGTGTAATAATATAGGTTGTAAAACGCATGGAGCTTGCTGTTGAGCGCTATACAAATGTTATCTTTTGTTATCTCCTTGCAAAGTTAAAAAGTGAAAAAAACCTTAAACTCTAAACGCATTTTTATTAATCCTCTTCATGTTTAAAGTAGAAATACTATACATCACTCCGGCTGGGAAGGATGAGAATGTTAAAGACATGTCTCCTTTTTATCTGTAAAGGTGATAAAGAATGAGTGCTTCGATATACTTTTCAGTAATTCAGTACCAAAAAAGAAATAATTCTCCCCCCGTTGTCAGTTAATGTCTCGTCTGTTTATCCTTCATTATCTCCGCATGTTTATGTTGTGTCAGCGTGCTCCCCACCCACCAACCAGGTTGTGTGTGTGTGTGTGTGTGTGTGTGTGTGTGTGTGTGTGTGTGCGT